GATTCATTAAAACGCGGCGTATTTTCATGAATTATTGAGATCATCATTTGTTTCCGCTCAAATCATATGTTGGAGGAATATCCTGATTTTCTCTCCAAAGCAACTGTGTGTTATGCACACCAACGTTCGCCTTTCAGCATCATTCCAAAATGCTCCCCGTATACATTTCGATTGATTTCATAGTACGGTATTTTGTTTGTTTTTTTTTGTTCCCCAGGCACGTTACACGCAATCATGAGGTAGTATATACAGTATGTCAGTCAATATATGCAGCACTTGTTGGTCCAAACAAAAAACACAATCATCACCTCATGCTCGACGTCCTCCATTGATGTGTTGTTGACTGCATCCCATTTCACTCGTTTGCCGAGTTCATTGGCGGGTATCGCGTGGCGATACCATTACCCTTACTTAGGCAGCCGATATACAAATGCGCAGCAGAGCCAGATAAGGATTGACCGTACCAAAGCATCCAGTTCCAAGCCGAGCTGAACTCTAAAGTGCCATTAATGAGCTTGCTGAATTTATTTCCTCATGACTTGGGAACCGCCGAGCTCAATGACAAAACCCTCGGGCGGTCGGGAGTCGCACGTGTTGCCACCTGCTCCTCGGAGCTCTTTCGTGACGACCGACAGGCAGAACAAAACGGCAATCAGTGAGCTCCGAGGTGGATAACGTGCCATCGGCGGCACTTGATGTTCGGCTCCCTGAACCGGCTCTGAGACATTGATCAGAACGGTCCGTACCGAGAACACGACTCCCACGGAGACATCGAAAAAGCAACACACAGCTGACGCCTGTCAGGTCAATGACCATCGGCCAGTTGATTCGATATTGAGAGATGCATCAATAACGCAACCACCCGGGGAAGCTCTGAGAGAGGACTCAAACACCTGCGACACGTTCATGAAACACTAACGGGGGGGGGGGGGATACGCAAACGCAGGATGCCTTTGAATGTGTGCTTGTTTAGCCCAACATTCAAACGCGTTCACATAGATAATTCTGGGTCTCGCCCCCCCCCAACGATAAACGAGGGCTCACTGTATATCATCATGTTTCGGGATTGCTATTTAACTGGCATTCGAAGCTCGGGCCCGATGCGCAATCCCTTCAAACGCATCCACAGCGCACGTCCATGTGAGACCTTCACGATCAACAAAAAGCATTTGGTCATAGTTCAAAAAGGAGCATTTATTGATGTCGCCGGATGTAGAGCAATGCGGCCCACCCCTGCGCTCTCAGCGGCCGTACTTTGAAGCTTCCTATTGTGTCGGCGCCGTTGCCCGAGATGCACATGAAAGGGCTCCGCAACTTTGAACTCAACAAGCGCCGACTCTCGCCTCGGCCACTTAAGGCTCCCGAATCAAACATCCCTCGGAATAAACAAACACAAATAGCCCGCCCGAGGAATAATATACCAATAGTTGCCCTGGCTTTGTTTCCGTGGTGATGACAGTGCGGTTATTGTTCTCGCTCGGTTAAAAGGCAGCCTTAGATTTCAGTTGCCACGGTGTTTGTAGAGTCACCCAAAGGTCAAATGAGGCTCCGTCAATACTGCACCTCAAAGAGCAACCGGTACCGGAAGAGGAACCGGGAGAAGTCCATTCATGTTTCTTATCGACAAGTCTTTCAACTGCCTGGTTTTCAATGCACTTGATCAGAAAGCTCCACTCAGACGCATAGCGAACCTTCCCTCAACAGCAACCCCCCCCCCCCCCAATGTGATTTGTGTATTTTACTGGGAGTGGAGCGCAGTGTACTCCTGCTGGGATTGGAATCCCAATTGATGAAAATAGGACTGATGGGACTGTCGCATCAAGGCATAATATCAAAGGAATATTCGGTCCGCAGAAAACAAAACTCTTTTTTTTTTTTTTTCTCTTCTCAGGGATAATTATGAAGCACAAAGTCGAAACGTGAACATAATAATCACATCGGGAAAAGGTCATCAGAGCTACGTTGTCACGTGAGGAACAGAGTGAGGACCCAGGAGCAGACATGACATCAACGTCTTGATCTACGAAAATACAAAGTAAGTACAGAGAGCAGGGCTGGATGCGGAAGACGCGGAAGAGCCGACGACACTCTGGTAGAAAGCTCGACGGACTGACAACATGTCAGCGATTTGGAATGCCGGAGGATGAGACGCTTCGACTTGTTGCAAATCACGAAATATAGACTGTACAACCTATTCCGTTTCGATCTCGAGCCGATAAGCGCTGCCCATGAAAGCTCACCGTTCCAAGTACTGCGTGCTATTGATTAGGCCTCTGGCAACACGGGCGGATTCATTCTTTTATTAAGGGCTCCTAATGTCTGACCAGAACGGATTAAAGGTCTGCCACCGCCTCGAGCGCCACGATCATTTAGAGCCTTTCATTAGGCTGGGATGGCTGTACAAACCAAATTAGCCTCAGGACGAAGCGCTGGCATTGGACTCAAGGGCAGAGCGGCTCTTCGTCAAGAGGTAAGCGAGTTGTCTCGCATCGATAGCGCAATAAATAGCAAGAGGATGCTGACAGATATGGCTGCATAGCCATCGAAGGATACGATATGCATGTTACGGCGATCCCCAGACGCCAGCGAAATACGCCCCCTCGGGGGCTGTGCATCGAGAGCATTCCTGAGTGATGTCATCTGCTCATGCAGATTGACTGGCTTGTCGGCATGCAAGAGCGAAGCCCCTTTCGCGTTGCCTTTCCACAAAACTTAACAGTGGAGTCGCATGCGCCTTTCAAATAGGACTCCCGTTTGATGCGGCTTACGTGTCCAAACTACGGGTCGGGGGCTAGTTGCGGCCCATCATCCTTTTTTGAGTGGCCCGCGGCATCTATTAAAAATGCCATTTGACAAGGCTCACAAGGATAATTCATTTAAAAAAAAAAAAAAAACAACAAAAAGAGGGTGGAGGTGGTGAAAAAGTAGGATGTCGAAAACAAAATATCCTCCACGACTACGAATAAACGCACTCACATTGTGAACAGCTTTCCTAGGGATGCAAAGATCCAAATGAACTCTTGAACCAAAGCAAGCATTCGACGCATGCCGACATCAGCCCCGCCCATTGTGTAGCAAACCACAACAATTTGCTTCCGACAAAAAGAGTGCAGGCAGCGAGTTTCGGTTCTTAACGCCGTGGTCGGACCGAATGAGAGATGAACTATTTTTGCAACACGTTTACATATAAAGTCAATCGTTCCAGTAGATCGGTGCGAAACAATTGACACGTTTGAGGTCATACGAGTTGGGTGGGGGGCAGCGAGAACATTTGCTCTAAATTTGTCCAGTAGATCGGTGCGAAACAATTGACACGTTTGAAGGTAATGCGAGTTGGGGCAGCGAGAACGTTTGCTCTAAATTTTAAACAGAGTACATATAGCATTCAACTTAACACCTTAGTTAGTTATGGCCACCTTTGAGACTCTGTCGGTGGAGATATTAGAGAGAGAGAGATGTATTTCCTGTAATGGAGTGTCAAAAAATGGGGATGACACCAACAGATGTCAGGTTAAAATCCATCTAATCTTCCCGTTCTGCTCTGTAGGGAGACCGAATGCCTCATAATACGGATAAATGACTTTGAGAGCTTCGATCGTTTGATCGTGAAGCGGCGAAAGCTCCCGGGATCGCAACGCGAACACCTTGCCGTGTGATTGCACTCACTTTGATCTGAGCTCACTCTGGAACACCGTTGACCCACGGCCGCCAGTCCCAAAGGGCCACGCCGACCGAGTACAGAGACGGGTTTTTCACACACACATACAGAGACGGGCAGAACTCTGATCACACGAAGGTACGTGAGCGACTGCGGTTGCCGAGCAACCAAACGGAGACACTATACTGCATAATCGTTCATTTGGATCCAGCTGTGTCAGCGACGCCTCGCCAAGACTAAAAAGCTGTTTCTCTCCTCATTCCGGAGAGGATGAATCCCGACGCACTGCCATGTTTTGGACCACACAATGTTGGTGTCGGTCTCTGGGTAGATTATACACATTGGAATATAACGGGAGGAAACTTTAACACAAGTGCAAGCCAATTCCAAGGAGGTAAATATGGTCATTTACAACCAAGCAGATGTCCGAATGTGAGGTTATTTGTACAAGCACCGCAAACACTTCTGAGGCGTAACATTAGCTCTGAGAAGCAGAAACCGTTCAAGAAGCGATCAGCACAGTCCTTTAATATTCTCCAATATTGACCGACAATATGCAGTTCTTGTTTATATCCAAACCAGGTTGAATCTAAAGTCGCCACGGTATGACAGAAACTATGCGATTTTGTTTCCGAGGCATCGTTTTATCAAAATGATGCCCAAGATCGCGATGAATTAAAAGTGAATGCATCTTTTCCCCATCTAAGGTGATGACGTGGAAACTTCAAACGCATCAAGGCACTCATCCCAATTACCGCTTGACACGGACAGGAGAAAAAAGCAGCATCCCAAAGCTTTCAAAAAGTTTGCCTCGTTCCTCCTTCAGCCTGGTTACCACCAGCGGATAAAAGTAACAACATCTCGCTCTTGAGACAAAATCTAAATTGACATCCCGCCGGGAATTGCTAACAACTCTTGACCTGATGATTGCTTCATTTGAGAGGCAACATCTTCACTTCTCGGATAATAGGAAACATCGCCAACTATGAGAAGACCTACTCGGCAGCCACACCATAACAGGAGCTTAATGGCCACTCAAAGTTCATTTAAAAAATAAAAAATTTGAAGTATGACATTCCAATTTTTACACGAAAGCATCTGTCATCCCATCAGGCTTTTCGACCTGCGCTTGCTTTGCAGATGCTCAAGTTGAAAGGTCACAAGGAAGAGACGGTATCAGCATTGCGCTACTTGTTGAAGATGGAAGATGCTCGCAAGGCGGCGGCTAACCCGTCTAAGGCGTCGCCGCTACATTCCGTCACAAGGCGCGCACAGCAACAAAAGTCACTCTCTCACTTGTGACGCCCATACACAGCCGACACCCAGCGGGCAAAGGACTCACCCTGTGAGAACGACCACAAAGTCCATTACATTCCATCCGTTACGGAGGTAGGAGCCTTTATGGAATGCAAAGCCCAGGGCGATGATCTTAATGGCTGCCTCGAAACAGAATATTCCAATAAAGTAGGGCTCTGTGTCGTCCTGCGGAGGGAGAAAAATCAAAGTGAGAGAGAGACAGAGAGGGAGAGAGACCATGAGAGTGACAGAGGAAGGGCATTTTAAAAAAATTACATCTGGATGTGTGTGTGTGTGTGTGTGTGTGTGTGTTGTGTGTAAGAGGGTGGCACTTAATGAAGCATAGAGTGAAAGAGGGGCATGGAAAAAAAAAAAAAAAGATGACCCCTTTCACCATCCCAACCAGTAGAGAAACCCTGTTCTCTGTTAAAAAAAATAATAATAAAAATGGAACATAAATATTTATGCCCATAGCAGGGGGAGTATTAATTAATACTAAAGAAAAAATGAGGGAAAAAACATCTTAAAAGTGTATCTTGCAGCCATGTTGCACAAAAATAATTTGGAGACCACAAATTAAACTTCAATGAAAAAAAAAAGGGGACCCCGGAGAGATTCTTCCAAGTTTTAGGGGAAATTATATATAGCAGTGTTGATATGGATGCCGATTTAAATGAGCTTTTTGCCTGAACCTGAAGCAAAGGGGGAAAAAGTTAGACGTAGAGTCTCCTTAAAAAATGGATCTTGATCCCAAATTTTATCATGTGCATGACAAAATAAAATGGAGGAAATTCAACACACATTTTTGTTGCACTATATACATGTATAGACATTTTTTTAATTGAAAGTATTTGGTTCAATTCACTCACATCTTTTCGTTTAAGAATCAAATTTGACACAGGGAGAAAAAAAAAAAGGCGCCGAGGTCTGAGGCGCACCCAAATGTTGGGAAGCAGGAGAAGCACTGAACAAGACACAAAATGAATGCAGGGTACTGGAGGTGGGGAAAAAAAAGATTAAAATACCAAAGCAAAGTCTTTAAAAAAAATTTGAAATAAAAAATGAGACAAAACACACACAGCATAACACGAAAAGGTGGCCCTGCGTCATCAACGAAGACTGAAAGCAAGCAGGGAGCTCAATACAAACAAACTGACGAGACAACAAGGCACACCTGGACAAGACGAGTGGTTGGAAGGAGCTGATTGGTTGGCTGGTGGAACAGGTGGAACCCCCCCCCCCCCTCAAAAAATGAGTAAGACAGGATATGGACCACAAGAAAACCAAACCACGAACAGAAGCGGCAAGGCTCAGCGGTAGAGTTGTTTGCCTCCTGACCAAGATCTTCCCAGCCGTTTATTTCTCGTTTAAATGTCACAAAGTGTCTGACTTGAGTTCCACTTGAAGAAGCGGAAGCGTTCGGGTGACTGGCTGAACCGAGGCCCTTCCCGACGAGCGAGGAAGTGAGCCGGAAGAGGTGTGAACACGTCATCCTACTCTCCTATGGTTCCATGTCCAGGTGCCTGCGGGCATCTCACGCCCTGCGTCCACCCGCTTTGGTTTTCCTCACCCGCTTCCGGCATACTTCAAGCTGACAGACACTGTCCCCCCCCAAACCCCTCCCGAATACTCCCGCCGTCTCCGATATAAATAATCGCATCAAGGCAGCGTGACAGGCCAGCGCACTCTAAAGAGAAAAACAAAAAACAAAACAAAACGAGACCTATCATGAAGATACAGCAACAGCTTTTTCGTCGTGAGCCTCTTTAGCCTACGAGGGAATCACGACCTCTGGATATGAAAGTCAAACAACCAAGATTGTTTTCATCGCATTGTTATTTTTTTTGTTTTTTTTTTTGCAAGAGTCCGTAAAAGTAACTTTATTTGCTGCATGAGCCAAGAAAATCTCATCAAAGATTTCTTCCTGGTGCCCAATTTTCAGACAACGTCCTCATTTTCAGCCCATTTTAATTGTAAGCATGAATGCGGCCACATCACATTCGGGCTATAAGCCAGTCACGGAGCAGAAGTCCTTCGGACACGTGAAGCGGTCGTCGAGCCAATGAGTTTTTATGGCGACTGCTCACTTACTCAGTCGTTAATTCAACCTGCGCTGATTAAACGGCTGCTCGGTTCAGGCCATCGTCAAGGTGAAAAAGGCACCGCGACGGAGTCCGATCCCACTTTGTCAAACAAGTCCCATTGCTACCCCCGGGTCCCGACTGCTCGTTTGTTGCCCCCGTTTATAACAATCTCTGCGCGGCGAACACGCGCCGCGGCTGCGGAGACCATTGAAGGCAGCTGAGTGAGAATGTGACAGGAACAGTTCGTCACACAAAGCCGTCGCTCTTTGTAACGCACGTTATTTTAAACTCCGACGTGCCACCTCAAAGAACACCAGCGACAAACGATAACAAAATCAGCTCTTTCCTTCCCCTCCCGCTCCCATTATTGATAGACAGGGCAGTTTCAGTTTTCATAAACCCACGTGAAGTGTCTTTAGTTTCTTCCCAACTCTGGTTAATTGGGAAGATGACAAAAAAAAAAACAACACACAATTGCGCCAAAATGAGGAAAATGGTTTTCTCAGCAGTAAAGCGTAGCAGCTGCGACTCTAAAAGAAGCGCGTGTAGGAAGCCAACACTTACCAGGCGCTCCGACATGGGCGTCTTGTCGCTGGCAGGCAGATGCTGCTCCAGGGCCAAGACGATGCAGTTGGCGATGATGGTAGCCAAGATCATGTATTCGAATGGAGTGCCGGGGGTTAAGGAGCACTTGAAAGTCAAGCGGCAATTCATTTCATTACAACATCAATCATTAAAACATCATCTAATGGAATCCAAAGTACACTATATGGACAAAAGTCGATTCATTCACCGGTCTGGACGCCACCCATTATTTCACACTGGATGTTAAATCTGAAGGTAGAGAGATATTTATGATCCTGCAGGAAAGTCAAGTGAACCAACACCCGCGCATCCATTTTCTGGTCGACCGCATGCTGACGGACGTTGCGCAAGTGGTTTTGCAGCACACCCTGGACCGGTCGCCTGTCAGTGGCAGGGCACATGCAGATAATCAAATGTTCACACTCACATTGATGAATCATTCATCCACCTATTTTCGAATGCGCTTCTCCTCACAAGGGTTGCGGCAGTAGGCGGGGTACACCCTCAACCGGTTGGCGGCCAATCACAGATTGGCACACATAGACTAACAACCAACCATCCATGCTCACACTCACACCGAGGGACAATTTAGAGTGTCCCATGAACCTGCCATGCATGTTTTTGGAATGTGGGAGGAAACCGGTGTACCCGGAGAAAACCCACACAGGCACGGCGGAGAACATGTCAACTTCACACAGGAAGGAATCGAACCCTGAACCTCTGAGCTATGAGGCGGACGTGCTGCCACTTGATTAAACTGATTTTTTTTTTTTAACATGCTTTCATTTCCACAGCGCTCTTGAAAAAACAGGACATGATGTCAAAAATGCACAAATTAGCATTCACTTTCTGTTTTGGCCTGCAACATGTCGAAAAATCGGCACAGTGCACTTGAGAACGTGCTCAGATTATTATTCCCGCCTTGTGTCCAATTGCACAACGTACGAATGCGATCTAACGCACGGGTTTGCCGAGGAATCCTTGAAAATGTTGCGGAATGACGAATGCCGTTGCATTTTGATTGGAGTGCAGTAAAGCAGAAAGCTTCAATCGTGCTCCGGTTGAAGGCTTTCGAGAAAGAAAGAGAGAGAGAGAGAGAAGAAAGAAAAAAAAAAAGAAAGCAAGCATCCTATACATGTGCTCATGATCTTTCCAGATGGTTGACCATTTCAAACTATTTTCAATGGCTGGCTCATTCTGCGTTCCATTTTTCACGAGGTCATTGCCCACGGGTCAGCTCCTATTGAGAGGCAATGCAAATGCAAAGAAATAACACGTTAATGGCCCTTTACGCCAAGATGGCGTGTTACCGCTCGGAAAACACGGGAAGCCGACTGACGTCCAATTCTGTCGGGAAGAATTGAACGCCGAGAGAATTTACAATGGGGTCGATGTTATTTGCAACCATTCAACGTTCTCGATGATTGAGCTGTTTATGGCACACCGCTTATGATGCTTAAGATTGATGGTTTGCGTCACATCGCGCAGGGGGTTGATACTGTTTGACAATCACATTCTTTACACAGATTCACTACAACAAATTTGAAAGGATGTGAATAATTGGATCGCAAGACGGACGCAAGAGCTCCAAATGTGGGCAGATGACTGGAAAAAATAGGCACGTGTGACTGATTTTGAACGGAGTGATTTTAGAAACCTGCATTAGCGAATCTGTTAAGCGTTCATTCATGTTTCAATACTGATGGTCCTCATGAAGCTCATGCTTGCTATCCATATGGCCTTTTTGAAAGGGCCAAGAATTTTGCTCAGTGATTTATGAGCAAACACGTCGTGTTAATTCTGTATTGAAAAAAAAAAGCATGAATTTCATTTCCATAATTTATTGTGGATTTATTCATAACTACACACCGATAAAAACAAGGTAAGCATAATGTGGTGTGGGCCTGGAACGGATAAATTCTATTTCCAGTACTTTCAATGGGAGATATTGTTTTGGTTCGCAACAAGAAACCAGCGTCCCACTGTTACTTTGATGACAATCTTAACTGTGTTGATGTTGTTTTTTTTTTTTTTTATATAATCAAAAATGATTTTGAGAAGGAAGCAAATCTACCGCTTGTTTAGAGTTGGCAAAACAAGACTTGGGGAGTGAATGGCCATGTTTAGTTGCAGCCTTCCTTCCCAGCGTGGCGTGGAAGGCGGCGTGGGCGACTTCAGCACCATGGAGAGAACTTGCAACTCATCGCGTGTGTGCCTTTTCCTCCTGTTTCCACCCACAACATGACGACGTCATGGGAGGGCTGACTCGTTAACGTTGCCCTTTTCCGCACGTTATGGTCCATCATTTGAAAGTATTGGACAACAGCGGAACACGTCTTATTTATCACATAATGATCGAGCAAAAGCCAGAACAGTGTGTGTTTCGTCGCGCGTGCCGGTGCTATTTAGGCACCATCGATGCTAATCAGAGATAAGCCCTGGAGCGACAGGTGCAACCAATGTTGCGCGGACAGGAATCAAGGTATAGATAGACGCCCCCCTCCGGGCTGCTGCACCACATGGGAGGCGACTTTTATTGTCTTGTGTAGAGAGCATTATTATAGGAACCTCTCTTGGAATAAAAAAAAAATGGCCCGTATGCTTGTAGATTTCTATTGAGTGGTGATGTTGCATAGACTCCCGGTACGTTCGCAAAGGATATGGCCACTCTGTTATACGTTTGGCATACTTCCTGATCAGGTTGTCCTCCCGGAAGATGAAGAGGGAGCGGTTGACAGTCAAGCAATTTTGCTTGACGGGGTTCGGGTTGTAAATGGCCATCGTCCGGGCCCTTTGGGCCATCGACTGCTTGTACATCCTCTGGCCGCTCGGAGCGCCTCCACCGCGGGCTCCCCCTCTTCCCGCACCCGGCGCTCCTCTCCCTCCTCCTGCTGCTCCTCCGCCGCCGCCACCGCCGCCGCCGCCGCCGCCAGCGCTTCCTCCATAGCGGGTGGGGAGATCGTCAGTGAAACGAGCCATTCTGGGAACGCGCAGATCCAACAGGGAAAATCCGAAGTGGTTTCAGTGGAAATGGAGGAGAGACGCATCACAACAGAACGCACTTCATCCACCACAAGCACAGTTGTTGTTGTTGTTGTTGTTGAGCTTTAAGACAGCATTGGAACGTGTTTAATGCTCGATTCTTTCCGCTGATTCATCCTCCTTCAAATGTTAAAATATAAAAGTTAAAAACAACAACAAAAAAAAAAAAACAAGAGGAGAAAATGACTCCAGCTGTAGAGATGAGATCACTTCATTGAAGCTGTTGCATCCACGGCGAAGAGAAATCACGTCTCCACATCATGTCAGCATCTTGACTGCGGCCAAACACCAGTTGAAATGTCGTTCGCTTGTTTTTTTTTTTTTTTTCTCGACAGAGAGGGTTGGGTCAATCCAACAACACGACCATCCCTCTTGCGCCTTCCTCCTGGCTGCGAGCAACAACGACACGAGCAAATGTGACGCGAGCGTTGTCCTGTGGATTGTGTTTGATCACTCCCTGGGAGGTGGAAGGGTGGGGGAGAGGATGGGGCGGCTCAGGGCTCCACGAGTCCCCCCCCTCGGTGGAATAGGGAAGAGCTCATGTGATCAACGCGGGCCTATCGCTGAGCGGAGCGCTCAGTCTTCCTTCCTTTCATCGGTGTGCTGGCTGACTCGGGGAGCAGACAACTGATGAAGTTCGAGCATTGGCGGGGAAGCAGGGGCGATTCGAGGATCAGAACAATTAAATGTTCTCCCGCTAGAGGGCAGCACTCGAATTCCAACCACAATGAGAAACGTGTTCAATCTTTTTGTGTGTCAATTAAAATGCGCAAGACAATCAAAAGAGAAGAATCCGTAGGGGTGTCAAATCTTATGGCTAGAGGAGACAATGCCGAGTGTATTGCTGTTTCACGTGATTAAAATGCACTCAAATACACCACCACAAGCCAGTCCTGCTTCTGGAACACTAATTACCATTGGGATTTGCTTTATGCACGCTGGTTACCGGAGATGACGCTGGTGTTTTTAAAATTAGATTGGCTTAATAATAAATCTCATGGAGCGATTGCGGGATATTCGCTGGGTTTCCAAAAAGAATAGATGCGGGCAAATGCACCAATAGATTTTGTGCATGCCACATTTGCATGTAGCCCCCCGTTACCTAAAAATGCTGTCAGCAGCCATCATCGCTTTACTACGAACTGCATATCACGTTTCAAATTTGCAGCGGGAGAAAGCGTTGACACCATTTCGCAAGTTTTTGCGTGACAGCCATCTAGTGGTTCATTTGACACACTGCAACACATTTGAACTGCTTGCTGCCCCTGTACGTGAACGTGCAGTTTTTGGTTCCAGGGTGTAATTTACCTGTCTGGCCAACATGGCTTCGTCTCCATCTCGTGCTTGTGCACAATGTGACACAACCCCTCGCTGGTCCCCACTCTGGTGGCTCCATCCAAGTGTATGACGGTGTCGTACTTAGTCGTGTTGGTGGTCTCGCAGTGTTTCCACGAAGGCTCGACATCTGCGCCAGGCGCCCGCCCGGGAGACTCCTTCGGCTGTTGTCGGAGTGGACGCCTCTTGTCACGTGCCAGGGCCCAGGTGTCCTCGTACTCGGCCCCCAGGGTCAGCATCCGCCATGAGCTAAACGTGGCTGAACGCAGTGCTGAGGAACACAAGATATTCAATAGTGGTGGCAAATAACTAATGCCATCTTTGCACTTGACAGTGTAACGGAGAAACCGAGTAAGAACTTACCGTAAACCACAGTAGATCGGGTCTCTGCCCATTTGGAGGAGTGAGGAACTTTTCTCTTCATGGCTGTTCCAAACTAAACCGGCACAAGTGGATGAAAAGTGGCATGTGTAGCAAGCAAAGTTCTGTCTGCGGCAGACTCCGCTTCCAGGGGAGGGCCTCACTCGGACAGACACGCACCGGTTTCTCTCATCTTGGAATGTGGAAAGGCAGCTTCCTGCTCAACCGTGTTTTGAGGACCTTATCGTCGGAATCCTCGCGGAGAATTTCCTCTGGGTTTTGTTATCAAAAGCTTCCAAGTGTTCCTTTGGGTAGCCAGGAAGGGAGCAATCATCGGCCCATTTGTAAAAAACTGAAAAGCGTAAAAAGATCATGTCTTTGCATTTGTCACTGCATTTTGAAGCCGATTCGCTTCTCGTTGATTATAATTTGCACTCCGGTTGAGGACATCATTAGAACGTATCCTGTATCATGTCAGGGACTATCAATCAATTGGACTCCGTAGCAGTAGTGTGCTGCCTTATCTCTGTACCCTTCTGTCATAATGCTAATCAAGCAGCTGTCTTCTCAAAGTTTGCTCTTTTTAGCAGTCAATGGCATCCAGGTCATTTTCACATCTGGAGAAAGGCAAATTATCATCCTAGTCTTCACTCTCTCCCAACTTCCTGCAGGCTCCAATCGAAAGATATTTCAGTCGTTTGCGTTTCAAGAAGAGCAAGAAAGTCACCTCTGAGGAGGAACTTAAGATCTTATGCAAAAGCAAAACTTGGTAGTCGACGGCGTTGCCTCCCGAGAGGAAATGCGACAAGTGAGGCAGCGCAGAAGAAATGCATTAGTAGTAAATTTATTGAAAAAGATACAACCAATTCAAATGCTGCTTCACGGTCCATGAATGTTTAACAGGAAAAAAAAAATAAATGGAACTGCATTTTTTTTCGTGGTCTTTTTTTTTTTTCGTTTTTCAATTTGACATTTTGCACAACCGCACTTCACTACTGACGCTTAAAAAGATATGTTGGAAAAATCATGGAACAAAATTATGAACAGAATCACTACAGGTACGATAACAAAACTGGAAATAAATCCGAACATAAAAAAAAAAAAAAAAAAAAAAAAAAACAAAAAATTTCTATTATTTAAAAAACAATCCC